CGTATGGAGTTTCTGGAAATATATCGTGTCCGTCGTTAGCCTGGGTTGTTTGATAAGCAAACTAGGGTGGCCTAACAAACGTTAGAAACCCACCAAACTCTCTAGATGAATGTAATATTTCCGAAAGCCCGTAGCAGTATAACACAAGCTGGATTGAAAACTCTATTCGCAGGAGTGTTACAAAACCTAAATCCCCCGACCAATTCCTTGATACTTTCCGTTTTTTGTGACCATGTGGTGTAGACTGACCACTTTTGAATGTCCCGTCAAAAAGTCACTCTCCGTAAGTCTAAACTGGTGCATTTTGATATGCCGGTTTCATATGTCGCCTCAGATTTTTAAGTCTCCGAAAGTAATTGACTGCGGTTGACGATCGAAGCTTTACCATTTTAACATCGTATGCATGCTATGGCGACTGATGATGATGAACGACAATGGCAGCTAATGCCGAAAATTGATTCAAAGAGAAAACACGTATAATGTAATGAAGATTTTGGCTCTCCGATCCTGCTTTATCATACCGGATATCCGCTGCTTCCGTTCTTTATTTTTGTTTCAGGTACCATCATTGCACCCACGTTAGGGCGTGCTTGCGTGAAATTTAAGTACAAAAACGTACACTTTCTGCGGTCGCAAACCAGGTACATCGACTGGGAGCAAGATGAGGGTCCCTCAACCCCAGTTCGCAATAAAACCATGCAGCCTACCTAATTTGAGGGTCAAGAAGATGGAAACACAACATATCGGCGAAAAATATATCTATAAGATGTTGCATCACTAAGGTGGGCAATGATGTCACCGAAACTTGAGCTAGCGCGTCTTTCCTTTCACAGGAAGAGGCTGTGTGAAAGACAAGAACATAAAGCTGTGGAGATTCAAGTGAGAGATACGAAGTCACCCTGCATAGTGCGACCGTGTACAACTTGCTTCGCTTATGGGCACGCGTTTAGACATCTGAAGGCGTACCGTCCTGCTGAACTTCCCAATGGCAAGACGTTTCTTACTGACTAGGGAAAGACCGGCGACTTTTTATATGCAAAGTAAATCAGGTTACCACAGAACGCTAGAAGAAAAAAGAGGGGCAATGAAAACGTGGTGCCCCGGCCCCCACTACTGCCGACAGCTCCTGAACCAGCGCTGCCGCCGCTAACTGTCGCTGCCAGCTTTCGATCTGGACCCAACTCTGCCAACTCCTCAACCAGCACCACCACCATCAGCTGCTTGACCAAAGCCGCCGCCACCAGCTCCTCAGCCAGAGTCTCGGCCGCCTCCAGCTCCCCAAACAGAGCCGCCTCCGCCAGCTGTTGGATTCGAGTCGCCGGCAGCCTTTTAACCAGACTCGCCTCCGCCCGTTTCTGCGCTGTCGAGTCATCACGTGGGTCACACGGCCGTGACGATGACGTAACTTGGTGCCTCGCCGGCCGTCCAAACGAAAAGTCGATTCAGCTTACGTGACGAAAGCCGTGATAACATCTCTGTAACATCACGTGGTTGGCACCACCGCCGCCAACAAACGCGACCTTCGCCACATAAATCCCACCTCTTTTAAAAAGAAGTTCTTACAGCTGCTGAAACACTGCTGCATCGGCATGCCTGCCATCACGCAAAGATGAACAACATGAACATAGCCTGGGTGCATGTTTGCAATCATGTTGTGCTGTTTGCAGGTTACATACTACTGCGAGCCATTGTCGAGCGCCGCCGACTTTTTCGTTTGGTCATCTCGAGCATCACAGAACGTCGCATGACACTGAAGAGCTTGATCCCAACAACTTGGTTTTTCTCCTCACTACTCTTTATAAGTGACCGTTTTCTCAGCATTTTGCCTTGAATTTCTTGCCCGCTGGAGCCACAAAAGAAGATAGCACTTTCGATGCCTTTTGGGCGACAATATCAACAGCTCATCCACAGGCATCCACAGCTCCTGTCGCTAAGCCAACTTTTCCACTTTGCGACTAAGCGGATGGTAGACCACAACATAATCGGAGTCATGTACATCATCGTCACAGCTGTCTGTCTCCTATGGTAAGTCGGCAGCTGAGGAGTTGTTGGCTCTGGCGGAGGCGGCTCTGGTCGAGCAGCTGAGCAGTGGCGTTGCTGGACGAGGAGCTGACGATGGCAACTGCCCTGGCTGAGGAGATGGTGGCGGCAGTGGATCTTTTTATGGAGCTGCCAGCGGTGGCGGCCCTGGTTGAGAGCCTGGTGGTGGCGGTGCTGGCTGAGGACCTGGCGGTGGCTGTGCTGGCTGAGGACCTGGCAGTAGCGGTGCTGGTTGAGGAGTTAGGGGGGCGGCGGGGCGGCGGAGGCTCTTGTTATACAGCAGTCGGCGATGGCTCTAGTTCTCTGTATGCCTTTTTGGTACGTGCTTGATTGCTGGTATTCTGCATGGATGTACCACATTTCTGAGATTGAGACACAAATCAGGATTTGAGAGGCGCAGATATAATTTAGCGAACAGAATGTCCTAAAAATGACTTTTTGAATGGGAAAACATCAAACACATGCATTCTGCGGGACAAATTGCAGGGGGAAAACTCTGAAAAACTGGGGACATGTCCGCGCGACCACTCTTCCGTTGGCTACACCCGTGCTTCCCTGGTCGATAAACGAAACACATTCACGACACTCAATAGTCACCCAAGATGTCTGTGCATTTTACATTTGACACAGTCGCTTGAAACGTGAATCATAGCAATGGCACAGATTTAGCCAACGATAAAAGGTGCACACACTCACCGCCCTGTCACTGACTGTGTATTGGAGGCATGCCATTATACCCTTGTCATATGCGTGACTACTGTTCAGTGTTGTGTCACGCATATAATTACACCGCTGAAGTGGTTTATCGTGGTTTTCAACCGATATCATGATGTCTTACGTTGTGCACATTTACCCTTGGACCACATTTTTGAACGCGTATCGTGACATTTCGTGATGAACGGCCGAAGTCTGCACTAAGTATATGATGTGCAAAATGCCCTGCACTATTGATCTGGGTGGAAGAGTATTTTCACGATATTCTTACGCTTACGAGGATGGCCTTCTCCAAAGGCGATAACCGACGTCCTTCGCGTGATCAAAGGGTGTCCATCTTTTTCCCCTCGATTCGTTCTTTCCTGCTACTGACGGTTGAACAATGGGGACCGCTCATGGCTTCTACTTCCTTTTCTGTCTGCAAAATGGTGAGCATTTAAATAGAACGGCAGTAGTCCAAATACCATCACAGGGACAATGTAAACGGCATGTGAGACAAAATCTCAAACGTTTGCAATGCGGACATGTTTAGACGGTGTGAGCCAGTTGGCTGTTATATCCTTAAACGGACTGGGTTGCGGCAATGCGGAGAGTGGACACCTAGGCACCGATGTTTGTGTATCTCATGCGTATTCAACCAATTCTATCCGAAAATAGCCTCTTAATCGATTCCAGCGGCATAACATAAATGAGGCTGTTACCACCGGTCCGTGTGACCGATCGAGCCGGCCCCGAAGGCTCTGAGCGATGCTCATTCTGAGGGCCGGTCCATAGCCGCAGCAGGGCGCAGCGGCAGCGGCAGCGGCCCGACCCGGGCGTCGCCGGCGAGCGTCGCGTGTGTCAGCCGCCCTCCGGCCGGATTACGGCGTCGCGGAGGTGAACGCGTACCTCTGAGCGACCGCCCTGGGAGGGCAAGCCGACTGCCTTAGAAGGGCGGCTTGAGTAGCCGCTCCCCGGCTGAGGCCGTCAGCCACCGCCTATCCCGACGGCCGCGGCCCCTCAGGTGGACAGGGCCGCGATCAACCACCACCGACAGTCCTCAGAGGGCCGGACGGCAGTCCTCAGAGGGCCGGACGGCAGTCCTCAGAGAGTCGGACGGCGGTCCCTAGAGGGTCGGACGGCAGTCCCGAGAGGCGGTGGCTGACCGCCTCTCGGACCGCGTTCCTCAGAGGGCCGAACGGCAGTCCTCAGATGGCTGAACGGCAGTCCTCAGAGGGCCGAACGGCAGTCCTCAGATGGCTGAACGGCAGTCCTCACAGGGTCGGACAGCAGTCCTCAAAGGATTGGACGACAGTCGCTTGAAGGCCAGGCGGCAGTCCTTAGAGGGTCAGACGGCAGTCCTCAGAGGATTGTACGGCAGTCCTCACAGTCTGACGGTAGTCCTCAGAAGATTGATTGGACGGCAGTCCTCAGAGGGTCGGACGGCAGTCCTCAGAGGGTTAGACGGCAGGTCCAGAGAGTCGAGCGGCCGTCCTCAAAGGATGAAAGGGCACCTTCAGAGGGTCGGACTGCCTCACCAAAGTATTGGAGTGCCTTATGGGCGGGGGCGGGGGGGGGGGGGGGGGGCATCTCGCGAAGCGGTGCCATGGCCCGCCGCCGACGCCGGTACGCTCCCTTTATGGATTTTCGGCCGTCGCCGTCGGTCGGGCGGGCCCAGTCAGCGGCGGCGTGCGGCTCCGGTCGGAGGCGGTGACGGCGCGCGGCCTGCCCCGCTCCCTGCCCGGTGTCCTGGGGCCTGCCCCTCTCTCTGCTCGGTGTGCTCGGGCCTGCCCCGCTCCCTGCCCGGCGCCCTCGGACCCACCCCGATCCCTGGCCAGCGCCCTCAGGCCCGCCCCGCTCCCATTCCGGCATCCTCGGGCCAGCCCCGCTCTCTGCTCGACGCCCCTGGACCCAACCCGATCCGTGGCTAGCGTCCTCGGACCTGCCCCGCTTCCATCCCGGCGCCCTCGGACCCGCTTCGCTCCCTGGCCGGTGCCCCCGGGCCCATTTGCTCCCAGTGGTCACTGGGCGCTACTTGGAGCCCGAGTAAATGACACCGGTTACGTCGCGTTACGAGTGACCTGGGACTACTGCTAAGATATCAGAAAGGCCACATCAGGACCTGGACCTGGGGCACGGTGCTCACCATCCCTCGCTCTCCACCGGCTGCCGAGTTCTTGTGACAACAGCGGCGACTCAGTGGTGACTCCTGGCCGGCCGGCCCGCCAGCTGGTGACCTTGAACCGACCTGCTGCCTGACCTTTCAGGCGCGCGAGCATGAGCTTCCTGTTCGGAAGGAAGAAGAAGAAGGACCATGGCGAACCTGGTGAGTACCGATGCGGCCCCGTGAAGCGGCCCGCATACCGCTGCCCGTCCTGACGTGACCCCGCCCGCCCACCCGTAACCACCCTGCATATGTCTCTTCGCACGTCATCCGAACGCCAGCAGGGATCCATCATCATTCCACACACCTCAGCCCAGCGCCCTCGCACCCTCACGCCGCATTCCTCCGTCCGGTCCCCAGCAGCGCTTGAGCTGAGCACGTGCTCCGCGGTGACGGGCGCGTGTGCGAGGCCGCGTCAGCCTCAGTCACCGGCGTCCGCCCACTCCCGGTTACGGCCGGCGGACTCAGCAACAGTGCTGGCGCCAGAGGTGGAGCTGGCGTCAGCGGCAGAGCCGTCAGCCGTCAGCGGCGGAGCTGGCGTCAATGGCGGGGCTGGCGTCGGTGGCGAAGCTGGCGTCAGCGGCGGAGCTGGCGTCAGCGGCGGAGCCGTCAGCGGCGGAGCTGGCTCCAGCAGCGGAGCCGTCAGCGGCGAAGCTGACGTCACCGACGGAGCCGTCAGCGGCGGAGCTGGCGTCAGCGGCGGAGCTGGCGTCAATGGCGAGGCCGGCGTCGGTGGCAAACCTGGCGTCAGCGACGGAGCTGGCGTCAGCGGCGGAGCCGTCAGCGGCGAAGCTGGCGTCACCGACGGAGCCGTCAGCGGCGGAGCTGGCGTCAGCGGCGGCTCAGCAGGGGTGCCAGCGTCTGGCGCTCGGCCACGGACGCGGGTGGGGACGGCTGCCGCCCCTCGCCGCCGGCCTCGCCGCGCCACCGGCCGCCAGCGCCGCGTCATGACGTGTCGTCGGAATTAGTTGGCCACTGGTAGATGTAACGTGACGTGTCGTCGGCGAACGACCAGCATCCCGATTGTAATTGATTTCCTGGCGTAAATTATGGCTAACGTTTCATCATTATGCGGTATCTAGCGCAGACCAGGCTCATCCAATCAGCACACGAAAGCTATTTGTGACGACCAGTTGAAACGTAGGAGATTGAAAGTGCGAGAAGACTGTCCGAACGACGGAAATAATGCGTGGTCGCCCTAACCGACATTGGTATTCGTATGAAGAAGACAGCCAACTGGGTCGTTTCTTCGTCGACCCGCAGTTAGTATCGCTGTCAGCGTCCGCAGCCCCCGTCAGTACCTCTTTTCATGTTTTCTTCTACACTTCGTCAATGATTCCTGGGCTCGTCCGCACCCTCCTCTATTGTCCATTTGCAGTCTATCGGTTAAAGTAACTTCCAAAAACCTTCAGGTTTGGACTGTGTCCAGGACTCCCCAGTTCTTGAGTTCGCCGGAAGCCGTCAGCTGATTCCAGGGCTGCCCGTCCCAGGGCTGCGTCAGCTGATCCCAAGACGCTCACTCGATGTGCAGCCACCTCTCGGGCACTCTGTTTTCTGAGCGCGGCCCCTGTTCTTAATATTTGTATATATTGAGAGCCAGCCGCTGTATTCTAGTATCACTGCACTTTACTTTACTATTGCCGCCATACTTTACCCGAGCCTCCGTGACAATTCGCAGCCGCTCATATATTTTAGACCCTACCGAAATCCGTTTCCACTTCGAGCCTGTCCCCATACTGAGACCCGATCGCTGGTCGTTGACCCAAGAACTCCCCGAGTCCTCAAGTTCACTGAGCTCCAGCCGCCGTTCGCAGGGCTCCCCCAGCTCTCCTGCATACCGGGGATGCCGCCACTGTTCCCGTGTTTCGTACGTGACCTCCGCGGGCGACCGCAGTCCCCTGTCCTCCTGCCCACTGGGGCCCAGCCACTCTTCCCGGGGATGCCCCAGTCCTCGTATCCGCTGGGGATCAGCCACTCTTCCCAGGTTGCCCCAGTCCCCGTGTTTACTGGGGGCCAGACACTGTCCCCGGGCTGCCCCAGTCCCCTGGGGGCCAGCCGGTCACTGTCACTGGGGGCCAGCCGGTCACTGCCACGACGCCGGTCGACCGGGCCCGTAGCGCTGACGCTGCCGTTGGAGGGATGCCAAAGCCGGGAGCGGCGGAGGCGGTCGATCCGGCGTCAGCGGCCGGCGCCGCCGTAAACAGCGGCAGCCGGCCGGCACCGCACGCCTGGTCGGCACGCCCGCGCCGGCAGACCGAGCTGCCGTCAGCCGGACCGGCTGGCCGAGCTGCTGCCGACCCAGACGGCCAAGCACGCCTGGTCGGCACGCCCGCGCCGGCAGACCGAGCTGCCGTCAGCCGGACCGGGACGGCCACGCACGCTGGGGGTCGCGCGTGCCGGGCTGTCATATTTGCGAGCAGGCACTTCGATGGCCAAATATGCCCCAGATCATTACCTCTGCACTGGGCCTGTTCCATAGCGGCCACGGTATTTAGCCACAAGGACGCTTCAAATGCAGTCGTGCATTTGCTGCACGCTGCGAGAATTGCTTTCGTTGGAGAGTGGGGCCATACGACTTGTACTTAGAGTGCATCAGTGCTAGACGTAGCCCGTAAATTGGCACCCACTTGCATCGCTTTTTTGGACTGCCTGTAACAAAGGTGCATAGCGAAGTACATGCGTACAAATATGTCATTCCTGAAACGGGGCACATCGACCAGCGATTGGTGACACCGTCATGTCCTCTCTCATACGACACAACATCAAAACGACACGTCCTCTCTCGTACGACACGACAATGAAATGACACGATTTCCACACGTGGAAGATGGCCAAGTGCGTACGAATGCCATGGCGTGGTACCATGCAAGGTCAAATGGTACCATGCATATGTGCTCGGTGCAATAATGTTTACCTTGCAGTACCTGTTTTCCTGGCCCACCAAATATGTGATTATATTCTTAAGCTGTGTGTCATAGTGTAATGAAATGGATGCTCCTTTTGCCCTACCTTCTCCTACGACTTCGAATTTTGTGCCGATTAAGTCACGTATCAAATTTAAATCATCAGCGCTCATCAACGCTTATCTCTTGCGGCCTTTCATCAGCGAGCTATGGGCGGAGCCGTTACTCAGTGGCCGGCTATGGAGCTTTCGCCTATCAGATATTTCGGGGCTGCCGACTGGACTTACGACCTCTTAAAGCTCGTGCGCCAAAGCACATGGTGTACCAAGCCGTCCAATGCAGGAGTGCGAATAACCGCTGAACTGGACTTCTTACGACTCACATCATCGTCACACGTTCACGTAGAACATGAGACATTTGAACATGCAGCCCGTAGGATTATTTCTCGTCAAGGAATATTGCTTCATGCATGCGGCACCGCGATTTACACTCACCTAGTCCAATCAGTCTTAATCAGCCGCATCCAGTGACGCACAGGAAGCGAAAAAGAGAAGAGCATCACTTCATTACTGGTCTTGGGCGCCACAAACTAGCCGGGCTATCAGGAAATGTGTATGAAAAACGAAAAACCAACAGCCGTCGTCCTCTCTCTCGCCCTCGGTGCGGTGGCCGTGTTCATTCTCAGTCTCACAGAGATGAGTCGGCCGAGCCATCTTGCTGCTGGCAGTGGTACTGCAAGGCTCGCCCCACCCGAACCCCCACCGCCACCAGCACCGTCATCTGGCCAGGCTATCTCACTGGCCACTGTGCGGTCAAGCCAGAAGTCATTGCCGTGCCGAGCGTGCTGGCTCGGATGTTACCGGCGAGGACAGCGGAAGTGCGGCAGGGCCCAGGGGGACAGCCCCCCCCCCCCCCTGGAAGACTTAACAATAACGCCTTGCGTCGGATGGAAAGAGAGTGACGTAGCAAACCTATTGATAGCCACCAAGTGTGGCGCTCCATCCTTCATGAGCTACGGACGGAAAGAGCCTTGCAGGTCAGCCGGTCACACATTGTTGGTGCTCTGCGTGCAGTCGACGAAAGCCTCCTCGCGCACGCCGGTTCGGCTAAACAATCTCGTACACTTCTGGGGGGACTCGGCCGTCCGCGAACAGGCCAGGAGCAGCACGAGATGCCTGTGGTCGAGGTCGTGCGCCGGTACCGGTTCTGGCCCGACTCCGCAACTTGAATGCCTGCGGCGCGCCGGCGCCGGCCCAGGGCCCCGGGTCGGCGCTCCGGTTGCGCGCGCGCTGAATTGTTCTGTTGACGCGCGCCGCTGCTGTGGTTCGCCGCACGGCAGCAGAAGTGTTTTCCTCTGAACGTGATGCGCAAACGCCGCATAAACAAGTGACGCGGGTGGCTCACTGATTGAGGTGCAAGCAGGGACACAGCGAGCTGGTCCGGTGGAACACAGCCGGGCTGTATGCGCAGGAGCACGCTGGCGCGAGTTGCGCTGCGCGCCGCAGCAATCCGCGCAGCATCACAGTGCCCACCAATAGTGCACAGTGGTCCGGCCAGATGATTGGCACGCATACGCAGTACAGAGATTTGTCATGCCAGTGGTCAGAAAGCCAGCAAACGATATGCCGATGCATGACGACTCGTCGGAAGCTTTTCAGATCCAGCTGTTCGGCCACCAACATCGGCGACGCCAGATCCGCGCGACCCGGCAGCGTTTGTTATTCTCACGTGTGTCTAGATTCCATTGACCCTAATGGACAAGGATTATCGTTTCAGGGCGATCATCCACGACCCAGACACCATCACGTAGCGAAGCTATTTCCTCGCGCTTTGAGAGGCGTTCCGATCTCCATTGGGATTCTGAAAGCACGACGCTGCTTTGGTACAGCGCCGACTTCTCAGCCCCGCGCTCAGACGGCGAGCGGCCCGAGAGTCCGACTGCTCGATTTGACGGGTCAGCTCGAGGCGAGCGCCGGAGGGAGAGAGGATGCCCCTCAGGCCAGCACCCGACTCGTCACGCTCCGTCTGCTCACGCCTTGTATGTGACCTGCACTGGAGTGTATCTCTTCGTTCGGACATCGGAGTACGCTAGTGGAGCTGGAGTCCCGCCTGACGCAGCTTTTTAACTGTCTTCGTTATCAGCTGAGTATAAATTCAGATACGCTGCGGTGGGGTATGAGCATGCAACACGCATCTGCTTGTCAGTGTTGGCAGCATCGCTCACCCGGATCTGCTAAATCGAGTTAACCTTTCTGCCCT